CGCTGTCAGGGTTTTCCTTTGTGATGGTGACTGACCACAGCACCTGGGGGCTCCAGTGTGAGTTCAACTGAATCAGCAGCCACCTCAGAAAAGCCGCAGAACCTCTGTGAGCTGGGGTGCTTCCTGGTCTGAGGGGGGGAGATGGTACCAGCACCCACTTCGGGGGCTCGCTGAGCAATGAGGGGCCGATCATCTGCTGAGTGCTCAGTTCTTCCCAGACCTCATCTTTTCGGAGAAACCAGTGGCGGCTCCGCATTCCTGGAGCCCCTTCAAAGGACTTTCTCCAGATCAGCTTCCCCTCCTTTTGGCTTCTACATCGCCAAGGGCTTAGTTTAATTTGGGAAAAACTTTCTCTTGGCAAGTTTGAGATTTTGTAAACAAAAAGGAAAAAACTGTAGGTTTGCCTGTTTTCACTTTTGGGGGGCTGTTGCGAAGACGTAAATCTTGTTCCTGCTGAAAGGCGTGGTGAGCGAGGCCTGGAGGGCAGCCGAGACCACCAGCCCTGCCGTTCTGTTCAGTAAACAGAGTCTCAGAAGCCATCAGACCCTGCCTCCAGCTACCATTTGTCGTTTTTCAAGCCGACCAAATAATACTAAAGAAATGTGAGATCGTCAGGTTATCTGTTGTTTCATTAAAATGAATCAATGAAGAAGGAAAATAGTCGGGCCCCAAGCAAAACACATGAAATCAAGGAAAAGCCTGGGTTAAGTGTTTGAGATGAAAGCATGATCTTATATAGCTAACAATAAAGGAAAAGTCCCACCAAGTAGGGGGGGAAAGAATGTGGTGCCCAGTAAATGTGAAAAAGGGGAGAGAGGACAGGAATAAACATTTTACAGTATTAAATACAGTGGATCTATGAAGTAGTTTTAGGTGTGTGTGTGTGTATCTCTTTAAGGAGTTATTTCACCCTCTCATTAAAACAGATTCTCCCACCATCCTCTCTGGAGCATTCCTTCTGTTGAATTATTCAGGGTTTTTAAATCATCAGCAGAAAGGAAACTATACAGCAGAAAAGGTTTATTAACTAACTAGAGGCCTGGTGCACAAAATTTTGTACACATGGGGGGAGGAGAGGGATAGGGGTGTCCCCTCAGCCCAGCCTGCACCCTCTCCAATCCGGGACCCCTGTGGGATCAACCAAAACCACTAGCAGTCAGACATCCCTCTCACAATCTGGGACCACTGGCTCCTATTTGCTCACCTGCCTGCCTGCCTGATCACCCCTAACTGCCCCTCCTGATGGCCTGCTCACCCCCAACTGTTCCCCCCCTCCCCACCAGCCTGGTCACCTCTAACTGCCCCCCTTGCTGGTCTGGTTGCCCCATGCAGCCTGCTTTTCAGTCATTTGGTTGCCACTGCCCACCCCCAGCTGACCTGGTCACCCCACAGTTGGTGAACCATGGCGTTGTTCTGGACCCTTTCCAGAGCGTCTAGAAAATTCTATCAGGACGCCCCGATCATCCCAGGCACAGCTGCTGCCGAGGAGGAAGTGATCCCTACCCCCCATTCCCCACCCCCAAAAGCTATTGTCCTCAACAAAATGAGCTTCTAGGACTCACACAGAAACGTGCATGGAGTAACTGAAAACCCACCATGGCTCAAATACTGAAAATTAATATATGCTGCCTGACCTAAGATTCAACTTTTAGAAATGCTTGCATTTGTGCCCAGTGGTCAGCGCAACCTGCCTTCTCATAGGCTTCTCTCTGAACTCTCAGGGAAAACCATTTAGAACAAGACTTGAAGAAATGTGTCGATTTCGTTGGAACCTACGTTTTCATGGAAAGCTTTGCCTTAATATACAACTTCTATCAACAGGGCCCAATTTTAAAAACTGGCTCCTAAGAAACAGATCTGTAAGAGGGCACAAATGAAAATCCTATAATCACACATTCATAGCCGAAGATGTGCTATAATTGCCTGCCAATTACCCGCGGAAAATTACAGGATTAATATTAACAATGTAGCTCGTACATGCTGATGTATTATAATCACCTACAGGGAAAGATGACTGTGGACCCAAATCAAAGAGAAAGCTTGACTAAAGAGCACAGGGCAGATCTCACAATTTAACTACAAAAGTATTCCAATAATGGCTACATTACTGTGACCCTCAAGTAATGATGCTTATTTGTAGATGCTTGTGGGTTCCATCCGAGTACCTTATCCAGACCACCCATTCTGAAGGTGCAAACCCGGCCACGTTCATTCTTTTAGAACACCTACACCGTGAAGCAGTTAAGTGACTCTTAATTGGGTCCACAAGAGGACAAGTCCAGGTGAGTGTGCCTCACTTTATCTGTGGTGGCTTCTGGCTTTCTTTCTATGAAGTTGAATTCATGGTCCAATGTCTAATTTTCCTTCTCTGCTTGAAAGGGAACAAATAGAAAAATGTGCCCGCCCCTGAACGTGGTTTGGGAATTACCCCAATGTTTGAGTAGACTCGATCGGTAGCTTCATTTTGTGACTTGTCTGGTTTCAGATATTTTTCCAAGGGCTCCCACTGTGCTAAACTAGGTCACTCCACTTATTGTCATTCACCCAGTGGGTGCGCATGAGCGTGTGTGCGTGCGTGCGTGTGTGTGTGTGTGTAGGACTCTATGAGAGAAAAGTCTGAAGGCAGGCAGGAGGCAATGAAGAAGAGAGAGATCTGAAGTCCTATGGGAGCTGAGGAATCATTCTTCAGTCTAAGAAAAGCAAACCCTGTAATAATATCCAAGTTGAAAAAAACAGGTATGCCAGTCACATGCTTTTATTATTTGCCTTAGTTGGACCTAGTCCACATTTCTATTTAAATGCTCCTCTCATTTTCTTGGGTAATAATTATAAGGTTAACTTTTCAAATAAAATAAAATTGGTCCTCGGCTCCTTGCAGATTGGCTACCACGCAGGTTAAGGCAAGTATCTCCAAACCCGTGTCCTAGCCAGTCCGTCTTGGAGGTTCAGTGCATGACCTGGGCGAACAAGACTGTTCTTATCTCAGCTCACGCACTAATTAATGGGGACACGTCTCTTAGGATGGTAGGTCAGCAAGCCTCTCTAGGCTCCATTTCCTCGTTTATTAAAGATGTGGGACTCGTTAATAGAAGATATGTTTGAGGGTGTGTGCACTTGTGCGCGCTTGTGCGTGTGCGTGTGCGTGCGTGCGTGTGTGTGTGTGTGTGTGTGTGTGTGTGTGTGGTGTGAGGTAAAGAGTGGCACAAACACTTTGCAGGGTAAACCAGTAATTAGTTTTAATATGCTCTACCATGAGTCTCTCAGCTTAACTTAGTCACTAACCTCTCTGCCATTAATCAAAGCGTTCCAAGCCAGGGGAAGATAGAACGTGTGCAAACATCCTTCTGATGTAATTGCTCGGGAATCCTCCACCTTCTCTGCCCTCCCTGGGACTGCATGCAGCCTCTTAGTCTGCAGGTCGGAGTACTGAAGCCTATACATGAGAAATTACCTGCTGCTTGTGGAAACAGCATGGAACATGCTACACATTACTTAGAGACACGTCTATTACTGCCTGTGTTTTTGAGTAATTTCTAGAAACTGTTATCTCCAATCCTGACTTCCCTGCTTTGCTCTGGGCCTCAGAGGTTGGTTTCTGAACCTGCATCTGTGGGAGACTCAGAGGCAGGGAGCGCCCGGGCACTCCTTCGCCTCCATGCTCTTGGTGTTGAGAGAAGTCTCTGCAGAAACTCCCCTGGTGTTCTACCTCCTTTTGGAAAGCAGGTCCCTCTGTGGCCACGGCTCCTGCTGAGGCAGCCCCACCATCATTCCAGCTCTTTCTGGATGACATCTCCAACACCCACCACTCCCTACTCCTTTTGATCCTCCAGCCTTGTGGGTAAGAGCAACAGATTCCTGCAGCTGCTCATCTCTGGACTGCCCCAGGGTGCCTCCAGCTCTTCCAACCTTTGCAACGAATCACCTTCATGGCTCCATTGGGCATGGGCTCTGCTCCCCTGCCTGGACCCTGAGTGTCATGGAGGGACCTCAGGTCTCTGGGGGACAGACATTGTGCTTAGGAGTATACAGCCTCCAGAAAATGCACTGGGCAGATTCAGTACTTCTCAATGCCAGGGAAGGTCTCTCAAAGGTCTCATTGCCTAACCACGTAGTACTATTGGCACAAGACGTGTGTTAGAGTGAAGGAACACTGGACGGAGAATTGGAGAACTACCATGTTTCCCTGAAAATAAGACATCCTCCGAAAATAAGACCTACTTATAGGTTTCCTTCTGAGTGAAATACAAGGCATCCCCCGAAAATAAGGCCTAACATGAGAGATTTGGTCCACTGATTCTGAAAGAAATTCACCAGGAAATTCAGGAATTGGATTGTTTGATGATGTTCCAGATGATGATGACATGATTGTCACTGAATAAATGAGTAAATTCTTGATACTGTAGGATTCAGTTTGTCTGGTTTGTGTTGACAACTACCATACTACCGTACCGGATACAGGTAATAAATTTCCTTTATTTTCATTTAACAATAAATGTGTACCGTATTCTTCTTCATGGAAAAATAAGACATCCCCTGAAAATAAGACCTAGTGCATCTTTGGGAGTAAAAATTATAAGACACTGTCTTATTTTCGGGGAAACAGGGTAAAACTCCCTATCCAGGCAGGTACCTACTGCGCTTTAAGGTACCTGCCTGGATAGGGAGTTCTAGCCTGTTTCATTCACCTCACCGAGGGATCAGAGTTCACACAACCTGCTTAGACATGGACACGGCTCTTGCAAATCTAAATATATTACCATTATGGATGGGACACAGTTGCCTTTCTTACGATGAAATTGCTTTTCACTCAGCCCAATTTCGACTTCTCAGCCTGATTGGCACTAAATGTAGTGGCAAAGGAGAAGTGCCTCGCCTGGTGCCTGGCTCGTCACGAGAGCTGCGTGGGTCCTGGCTTTGACTTCTGTGCTGCGGACCTTCTGTGCATCATGGCAACTTATCAGCTCGCCAAAGACCACGCAGGGAGGCCGAGGTCAACTCACCGATGTCGAGGACCCTCTGCTTCGCCGTGTGCTGCCGAGAGTGCCAGTATTTCCAGTATTTCAGCTGCTCGTCTCGGTTCTTGTCTTCACTGAAGACCACCATCACCACGCTCTGCGGAGGCAAGGATAATGGAACTTACCTTTTGTTCTGGGCCTTGGGTGCTCACACGGTCTCTTCAGAAAGTCCTACCAGAGGTGCATTTCTGTAATGCTGCTTTTCTTGCTTTACAAAAGCCCAGACATGCTCAGTTACATGGTTTTGTTTTAAAATGAGCCTACTGCCCTAGCTAGTTTGGCTCAATAAGTAGAGCATCAGCCTTTGGACTGAAGGATCCTGGATTCAATTCTGGTCAAGAGCACATGCCTGGGTTGCGGGCTCAATCCCCAGTAGGGGATGTCCAGGAGGCAACCAATCAGTGATTCTCTCTTATCATTGATGTTTCTATCTCTCTGTCTCTTTCCCTTCCTCTATGAAATCAATAAAGATATATTTTAAAATAAATAAAGTGAGCCTACTTAAAAAAATAATTGGAGCTCAGCCAGCGTGGCTCAGAGTCTGAACCAGGAGGTCATGGTTCGATTCCTCTCAGGGCTCATCCCAGGTTACAAGTTCAGTCCCCAGTGTGGGGTGTGTAGGAGCAGCCGATCAATAATTCTCTCTCATCATTGATGTTTCTATATCTCTCTCCCTCTCCTTTCCTCTCTAAAATCAATAAAAATGTTTTAAAAATGATTGGAAATGAAAAGAGCATATAGGGGGGAAAAAATCCTACATCATCTTTAACCTAAGTCATAAACAACCAGATAAACTAATTACTAGCAAACTTAATACTTTTTGAGGTAAGTAGGAATACAAAAAAAAATATTTTTCTGGTACTGAAAACAAGCATATTTTTGAAATTTCTTATCCTTAAATATAGAATCTGGCACCATTTATAAAGGAGGAAATATCTGTTTCTGGCCTAATTAAGTGCCTGAGGCTGGAACACTGGGTTAATGAGAGAAATGTTAAAGTAATGAGAGGAAAATTAAAAGATGAGTTCACATGACGAGTACAAATGCACTTCACAGATACTTGATAGACCAAACGATACAAGGTCAACTATGTTTTTTTTGTTTCAATAGAAACTCATAATCCAAAAACACCTTTCGGTTCTCAATTATAAACAACCTCATGAAGCTAGATACTGTACCTGTTAATTCACTGTCCTTTAGACAATGAAGAGGATACGAAAAACAAACAAATAAACCAGCTCAAAGAACCCTCATTACAGTATCAGGGATATGACTCTCCCTTCTCACTCCACATCCAACATACTTCTTAGACACTCCATAAGACTATGTCATTGATTTGTGATATTCCTGAATCCTTTCTCCTCTGTAGCATTTTACACACTGGGAGCACAAAGCATTTTACAACAGGGCAGGAAAGTCCTCCGAACTCTTTCCAGAGCTTCTGCTCTACTTTTCCTTTTCAGTAGTGAGGGATTACGGTTCCCTCCCTTCTTGGCAGCAGCGAGAGTGCCAGAAGCTGGCAGGCCTCCAGGGCACTTTCATTTCCCACACATCGGACCAGCACCATGAACGTGAAAATTCCTCCACGTCACTCCTGGGAGGGATCACAGCACGCCTCTCCCCTGGGCTCCTGAGTAAGCGCTGGGCCGCGAGGGCTTTTAACCAAAGCTGCAAAGGGTCTGGGGTCACAGATGAATTGCCTTCTCCTTTACAGAAAAGAAAGCAGCAGCAAAACATGTAGAAATGTGTTCTGACTTACAGCTCCTCACTTGAAAAAATTTAAATCAACTGATTAAAAACAACAGCAGCAGCTCGGTAGCGAGCACACAAGGCCATGAATGAAGCTGGGAAAATTCCTTGGATACATTCAGAAAGCATGTCCCAACCACGTCCCTTCCCCGGGGCTTATTGGTTACTGATTAAAATGATAAACCACGAGCCAATAAGTTCTCTTGCCCCAACTCTCTGACATTTGTTCTGGAGTTATTTATTTTAGAATTTTTTTCCACACCCTTCCCACAAGGCTCAGAGGCAGCGATTGCATTCCTCTGATCCCTCTGATTTCCTGAAGAAACTGCGGCCCTTACCCTGACTTTGCTGATGGGGTGTCGGAAGCATTTGTTGTCGCCAGTCTCACTGAGCGTGATGGCGTAGAACTGCCCCTTGTTGAGGTAGGTCATGGGGCCCTCCCCCTGCTTCTGGCGGAGAGACTTGGTGGCCTCCAGGGTATACTGAAACGTGCTGCTGTGAACAGAAAAAGCAAACGGGGGTCAGAGTCACTCACCCGAACACTACTGATCAATTTCATTTCACATTGATTATCACTTTGTATGAATATTAACCAATATTTACTCTGTTTCGGAGACAAAACACAGCATATGGCAAAAGAGATGAGACCAGACCAAAGGTCACTGCTAGCACAGTGTATACGGACAGCATTCTTAATAGCGGCCCATAAACCAGATGGTTTGGAAGGGGAGGAAGTCCATGATGTGCTTGGCCAAGGGTGCGAGGCCGTGCTGGGAAAACCTCTATTGGGTGTTAGCTGGCAATAGGCAATGCCTGAAGTTTAAGAATGTATAGAGCCTGCTGCTTTTATCCTAGTCCCAAACCAAGTGTGTGAATGTTTTTGTTCAATTCATATACATGTAAATCACCTTCCCTTTGTCTCAACAAGATATTGCAAATATAGTTTGCTTTTAAAAGCTTCAAAATGTGAAAACCCAAAGCTCAAAACATTCATTAATAAACATCTAGTTCCATAACTGGGAGAATTTTGTGTGTGTGTGTGTGTGTGTGTGTGTGTGTGTGTGTGTGTTTTGTTTTCTAAGCCTGCAAAAGCACTCGTGACAGGTATGTGCAAACTGAAATGGTCCATGGGCCAAATTCAGCTCACTGGCTGTTTTTGTAAATAAAGTTTTATTAGAACACAGCTATGTTCCTTCATGTAGTGAATGTGGATGGCTTTCACACTGCACAGGAGAACTGAGTGGCTGTGACTGCATAGCCACCAAATCTAAAATATTTACTAGGTAGCCCATTACAGAAAAAGATTACAAATTGTTGCCCTAAATGATTGCCCTAATATTTAAAAAATATGATTTAACTTAACAAAAACACTCTTTTCCCCACCTTTGAAAAAAATATCAATTGTTTAAAATGAGCAGCAGGTTTAAAGAATCATAATCTCTTTAAACATGCTCATTCAGAAATATTTATTGCTGCTACACCACAGGACGGCTCCCACTGCCGACACAATAACAAAAACTGTATTTTTCTGAATCATCAGAATCTCTTCATTGAGTCTATTTTTTTAGCCCTTAAAATGGCTTACAAGATTACTGGCAACTCTTGCTTCCTGTGTTGAACATTTTTGCAATGTCAATTTTTTTTAACTTTTATAATGAGAAACCATTTGAAGGACAGAATAATATTCCTCTTACATGATAAAAATCATAGGCATAAGCTGATAAACTAAAAAAATTCCAGAATATGTCTTAGACCAAGGTGGGAAATAAATCATTCAAGACAGAATCAATTCCACTGTCATTTTGTATAGAAAAAGCAATTCCAATATAGCCACTGAATCATAAAATTTGCAGCCTGGACAGGATATTAAGGAGTGCCTACACCAGTAGCTTGCATCTTGTCTAGGGCACAGACTGCTTGAAAAATGGGAAAAAATGTTTATATGTGCTTTCCCAGAAAAACAAAACAAAACACACATATAAACATAAATGGTTCTGAATATAATTTCAGGGATCTCTCTAGCCCTTTCCCTTCCTCTCTCAAATCAATAATTTTAAAAAAAAGTATTTTTTTAAAGGTTAGAAAGTATAACTTGGGGGTACATTTACTTTCTTTTGTTGTTTTTTTAAAAAATATATTTTTATTTATTTCAGAGAGGAAAGGGGAGATAGAAATAGAAACATCAATGAAGAGAGAGAATCATTAATTGGCTGCCTCTTGTACAACCCCTACTGGGGATTGAGCTAGCAACCTGGGCATGTGCCCTTGACCGGAATCGAACCTGGGACCTTTCAATCCGCAGGCCGACGCTCTATCCACTGAGCCAAGCCAGCTAGGGGTTGGGGGTACATTGAAAGGCTTATCCGTTCATCAGTTTCCAGGGGCATCTCCTGGTAACCTACCTTGATGTCTGGTCATACATGTATTCCTCAGCTCCGACTGAAGCACTTCGAAATTTCTACAAAATATCCAAGATATGGAAATTAAAACCAAGAAGTGAGATCATTATTACAAAATTTAAAAAGTGATAAATGTATCTGAACTGCTTTGTTCTCACTTTAGAAAGGAGAATTATATGTTGTTTGGCATTACATTCTCAACTGCAGTGAAAGGGACCACCCTGTGGGCACAGAACCCACATGTCACCTGCACAGTGGGAACTATCTTCACCAAAAAGCATGTGTGCTCTGTGTATTACTCACGGGTCTGCAGGTGTGTCCTTAGAGTGTCTGCAGGATCTGGAGACTGTTTCCTCAAACATACAACAGCTCTTCCACTGCCTATTACCTCTAATGCTTATTCCAAGTCATAGAATCTGAGTTACTGGGACAGTAATTACACACATCATAGTCCAAGCATCATAGTAGAGAGATTTGGAGCATAGTTTCTAGAGCAAGACTGTGTAAGGTTAAGTTCTAGCTCTCCTGCCTGCTATCTGTGTGAACTGAGGCAAGTGCCATATTTTCTCCATCTGTAAAATGCCTGCTTATAGTGATTAGAAGGACTAAATATGCAAATAAAGTAGAAGAACAGTAAGCGTGATACAGTGGAATCTTGGTTTTTTAGACTTAATTTGCTCTGGAAAGCTATTTGAGAAGCCATTTGTTCATGACAGAGAATCAAAGATTCAGATTTAAGCTTCTTGTACAATCAATCAATCAATCAGCAAAGCATTTAATGGGGATTTTTTGAGGCTTTATCATCTTCTTGGTGCTAGGAGAAAATATAGAAAAATTATAAGGCACTGTACTGTCCCCAGAGAGATAAAAATTGGTGGAGGAGATGGGTAAATTCACATGAAAAGAAACAATAATACAACAACAACAACAACAACAAAAAACAACAACAAAATTACAGCAAATGACTAACTATGACTAACTCTGGAAAAGTGCAGAACGGGCACTGCCAGGAAAGGAAAACCAGCAATATTAGAGTTCATGGAGACTGTGACCTTCGCTCTGACCCTTGGAAGCCAAAGAGAACCTGGGTTTAGTGAAGAAATTAAAAGAAAGTAATCCGGGTGAGAGAGGACCACCAGGACAAAATGATAGGTACGAATGTGGTTCGTGGATGGAGTCAAGGACACAGGCCTGCCCCGGTTATGATGGAAGGACCTGAGCATCTACAGTAGCCACGAGCCAAATGTGCTGAAGTCGATTAGAATTAAATAAAGTTAAACATTCCGTTCCTCAGTCAAGCAGCCACCTTCCCAATACCTCATTGACACATGGAACTAGTGGCTGCCATCTGGGACAGCATGAAAGACAATTTCCATCGCTGCAGAAAGTTCTACTGAACAGGACGAATTTATGAAAAGGTACTTATACTTAGTACAGTTAAGAAATAGGAATATTTGGAGTAGGAGGAGAGCAAGAAGGGAAAGATACTTAAGGAAGTATTTTAGAGATGGAGGGGCTGTGTTTCCAAAGTCTTTGAAGGAATATGTACGGTAATAACCTGCAACAATACATAGTGAACCAGTATTAATAAACATGGCTTTGAATAAATTTATTGTCATGCCATAGAGCTCTGCAGCCTGAGGACAGGCTAGCCTACTAAAACATATTGGGCTCCTAAGGTCTATGGTTCTAATCCCCCTGATTCTAATCCCCCGGGTGATATGAAAAGGTGTGATATAATACAATTGTTCGGACTCAAAGAGACTATCCATATGCTGACTGAAATAAAGAATCACTTCAGTAACTATCAGTGCATATGAACAAGAACTATGAAAAAAAAATAGTTGATATGTTTTAGACACAGAATTACTGTTCTCAAGTTTAAATTTTTTCCCTTAATTCTGTTACACTGTCTTTCAAATTAAAAAAAAATTTAAATGTAGAGTCCACTTGGAATATATCACCATCCTCTATGGGACATGGTCATACTAATGGGTCACATGGCCCTAAATGATTTAGTAGTATGAAGAATTATAATAGAACCAAAATGCTTGGTCCATTCTGGCTACAGTTACAATGCTTCAATGCTTTATAACTGTTTGGGCATCTTTTGATATAATTTGTAGGTTGCCTAAAGGCAAGCTGACAGCCAAGATCGCCATACCTTACTGTGATTTGATGTAGTGCATCTATATATTTCTTAATTATTTAGGTCAAATTACTCCTTTCCTGATACCACTACACACACACACACACACACACACACACACACACACGAGTCAGTCTCTATTAGAGAATGAAATCTGCTCATTCAACATGGGTCTTAGACATTTTAATAATATTCCTAAAAGAATACTAAATTTTAGACAACCTTCCCTTAGTGAAATTTCCTTGGTGAGGTTCCTGAGCTCACCTAATCTACAATATAATGTTGGCCATGCCACAGCTAAAGATCATAATAGAGCATTCCATTACATTCACAGCCAGATTGAAATACAATATGCAAGGTAAACACTGATTTCCAAGACTATGAGAGCAGCTAAAATATTCCAACTATTCCAAATTCAGTGGGAATAATCTTCATATATAGTTTCTGGTAAGTTACTTTCTCATGCACCTAAAAATAAAACCCCAACTACAATAGCTTCCTTTCACCAGCCTCTTTATCTACAACACAAACACAACTGATAACACATCCCCCAAATAGCAGGATGGTTCGTTGACATTGGACAACATCCATGGGCTCTTCTGTGACTAATGGAATATTTCTACACCACATAAGAAAAACATCAGGGCAGACCTTTGGTGAAAAAGCATGTACTTCACATTCCCATGTGGAGTGATTCTAAAACAAACAAGCCAGCAGCGATCATTGTTTCTACAAATTCTATGGGCACAGGAGAATAGGTACAAAGCACACATATACACACACTTGGTTATTGAAAATACAAATTCTTTCTTGAATATTCAATCAGACAAGGTCATAGAAAGTTATATTGTGTGTTGTTGTTGTTTTAAAGAATAGGCAGACAACTGTAGCTACCCTTTGAGAAGGTTACAAACTAGAAGAGGACAAGGTAAAAACTTTAAAAAATAGAAAGTTTCCACATGAAAATCTCTTCATTCCTTATATTTAATTTTTAAGATCAAAACTAAAACAAAGGAATCTGTCATCTAAGAGTCAAAAAAAAAAAATATTCCTCCACATGCCTAGACCAATGGTTTATTAAAACCTGCTCATAATAAAAGATACAAACACATTTTTAAAAAGAGCCATCAACTCACAGCTCAATTCATTTATCCCACTTTAAAAGTAAATAGAGGACAAAAGTTAGCTGAGGATCCCAGTGGGCAATGAGCACTGACCCATGAACCAAGAGGTTATTGGTTTGATTCCCAGTGGGGACGCTTTCCTGGGTTGCCTGGTTGCAGCTATGGCTCAATCCCCAGTGGGGGTGTGCAGAAGACAGCCAAGAGATGTGTTTCTCTCTCATCAATGTTTCTCTCTCTCTCTCTATCCCTCTCCCTTCCTCACTCTCTAAAATCAATAAAAACATATTTTAAAAAATAAAAACCTCAACAGGTCTTAAATTTGTTTTTAAATTAAAAAAAAAAAAAAAAAAAAAAAAAAGTTTGCCGAAACTGGTTTGGCTCAGTGGATAGAGCATCGGCCTGCGGACTGAAAGGTCCGAGGTTCAATTCCAGTCAAGGACATGTACCTTGGTTGTGGGCACATCCCAAGTAGGGGTGATGCAAAAGGCAGCTGATAGATGATTCTCTCTCATCAATGTTTCTAACTCTCTATCCCTCTCTCTTCCTCTCTGTAAAAAATCAATAAAATATATTTAAAAAAATAATAAATAAAGTAAAGTTAACTGGGGTTCTGGATTTAGGTTCTTGCTACTGATGAAAGAGCAGGACTCACCTCCGAGGTCCCGTCCTTGAAGCTCTCGCTGTAAGTGCTGTCCGGGGTGCTGCGCTGGTCATCCTTGAGGTAGGTGCCGTGGCTGGCCATGGAGGGCGCCCCGTACTGAGTCTGTTCAAAGATGACCACACGCTGCTCCTCCCCGTCCCCCCGGGGGTAGTGCACGGGCGGGGCCATGAAGACCGGGGTGAAGTCCTCGGCTTTCACCACCGTGATTCCCGACACGGGGATGATGGCAGGGCTCTCGGGGACGCTGGCGCTGTACTGCTCCCGCTTGGAATTCTCCAGGTGGTCTTGGTTTAGGGAAAGGTTCACAGGCACAGTCTTTAGGACCTGGACGCGGTTTTCTCCTCCACTCAAGTTGCTCTGGGCTTCGCTGGTGCCAAGGCAGTTTCTGTGTGTGGAAACCCACCCCAGCATAGGAGAGAGTTAGGAAGCTCACCGTTTTGCAGCTCGTGATAAAATAACGGAGGCAGGCAATCATCGGCGGGCATGCATGTATCATACTCAGAGGAAAGGCTGATGGGGAACTTCACAACGGGAGCCAAAGGATCTCTGCACCCCTAGGAGGACAACTACACCTGTGTGCCTCCTGCAATCAGTCCCACCTAGAAAGTGCTGTGACTTTAAAAAAGAAGTTTATCTTAATTCTAAGCAAGTCTCTACATCTAACCTTCAGCTCTCAGAAAGCACAGGAGCTGGAGGAAAGACTTAGACGAGTCTTTCTTAAGAAGCAGTCAGACAAACCAGAATGCCGCACGCACATCTCACTGACCTGGCTTCTTCAGTAAGTCAGAGGCTTGAAAAAGGAAGAAGGATGGAAGGGTTATTCTAGACTAGAAGAAATTTATAATGAGAAGATCTTGTTTGGATCCCGATCTGAACAAACCAAAGAGGCATTTTTGAGGCAATTGAATATGGACTGGGTGTTAGGTGATATTAAGAAAGTATGTTAATTTAGTTAGGTGTGGTAAGGATTTTGAGATGATATATAGTGTCCTGGGTTTTTTTAGATATACAAACCAGAAGGAGTTAAGGTAAAATGACATGACTTATTTTAAATTCTTTTGCCACTGAATAAGGAAAAGGAGGGGAAGAGAAAAGGTAGAGATTAAGCAAGTGTAACAAACGTTATCACCACTGAATCAAGAGGATCAGGTGGGCATTTGGGGGTCACTACATGTCCTCTTCTGTAGAAAACTTTCAAAAGAACACATTTTAAAATAGCTTTATTTTTTAAAAGGCAGGAGAACTGACATGGTCATTTGAGGGAGGGTGAGAAGGATATTTTTCACTTTCCTGTGGGCTACACTAAAATTTAGAAATCGTAGGAAAAGTAAGAAGTGAGGATTTATCATTTAAATATTTTCACTAAATGAAGAAATAACATGAGCTCACTCTTGCTTTAACATTGAATTATACATCCGGGGCTTAAGGAAGTGGTGTCACTGTAAAAGAAGATCTCTCAGATCTCAGACCTCCTGGCTGGTACAAAGAGAAAGGAGGATTTAGAAAATTAATTCTTGCCATGCTAGAATAAAATATTTTCATTTATACTGAAGAATTCTGGGAGAGAGCAGAAGAAGAGAGATACTCATTAATGGAAGATGATTATTGATAACAAAATGATTTTACTAGCAAGGTCTTTGTGGTCAGTAAATTCTGAGGCCACCTCTCACTTATTTATTGATTCCTCTGATTGATCACAGAGAAAATACCTGTATTGTACTGAGCCCTATCCCCCATGTCTGCTTTATTTAAACTAGCATGCCCCTTGTAGGGCTTACCGGCATCTCTCACAGAGAGCAATATGCTAATAACATTGGTTCTTCCAAGAATAGAGCTCTCTTGGCTCCTCTCTATAAAGGAAGTCCATTAGCTTCTGAGCTTGCCTAACTCCCAAGCAGGACTTGGTATTTCAGCTTTGATTTTTCAGATAAAACTTCAAAGTGAAGCTGGAGGAAAGAATGGCTCCACATGAACACAGCCAGCACAAAATATCTACACGTCTCCGAGCCTGTCACAGATCTGTACAAACCATTCTAGAAAATAACCCTTTAGAGAATAAAACTGTAAGTCTACCAACAGTCTGGCTTTCAGTAATCACCTGCTTTCGTGGCCAAACCAGGTGGTGAATCTGTATATAGGACACAGTGAAAATGAAGAAATGGTGTTTAATCTGAATCCAGTGAGCTGGAGGATGCCAAAACCCAGACCACCCATTTCTATCAGCATTTCCTAAACCCCATTATTTAGAACATTTGCATGGAATGTTAATAGATGTTCCTCAAAGAAAGGAGTCTGTGATAAAATCAGCATTAAAACAAAACAAAACAAAACAAAACAAAAATCTTTGCCATAACAAGACCACCCCAGTGGGTCACAAACACCATGAACAAGGTAAAAGGCCCCCCAGGCGTTCCTTCCTTCACCTGTTTAACTGTAAGCCAAAATTTCTGAAACTCATTTTACCCCCGACCCTTTTGTGGAGGATTAGCTATTAATATTGGTGGGTAATGTCCTGCGAGTTGAGTGGAGAAGTGTTGGTCTACCTTTATGAGCTACCAAAGCAATTACCCAATTTCCATTCCTCTGGGCTTTGAACTAGGAGAGTCTTAATGGCTTTGCTGAAATATTACAAGTTAACCAACTCCTCTATAGTTACAAGAGTTCATTTTAGTTCACATTTCTTTTCTTTTCTTTTCTTTTTAATATATTTTATTGATTTTTTTACAGAGAGGAAAAGAGAGAGACAGAAAGTTAGAAACATCAATGAGAGAGAATCATCGATCAGCTGCCTCTTGCACACCCCCCACCGGGGATGTGCCCACAACCACAGTACATGCCCTTGACCAGAATCGAACCCAGGACCCTTCAGTCCGCAGGCCAACACTCTATCCACTGAGCTAAACCAGTTTTGGCTAGTCCACATTTCTTAATTCTTTAATTCCTATAAAATGCCTGAATTGTAAACAAAAACTGGATTTATGGTTGGACAAGCCTAGCTGAGTCATTAGTATAGGATGAGGAAATAACAGGCTCAGCAGCATCCTATAGCCTGTAGCTCTGTCCCTGTAGAACAGCATTGGCTTTCAAAGCTGGTGCAGGAGAACTTCAGAAAGACATCCCCAAAATATGGATGATTAAAACAAAGTAAGAATTATTGTGAGATACCGACTCACCTGCAATATAATTTAAAATGGAACCAAATATTATAAAAGCAGAAAAATGCAATTCTAAGAACGGTGCATTCAATATTGTAGGAAGTGGCTATAGGGTCAAGCCTCGGACTGAGGCAGAGCCACATACAAGTCCCAGCACAATTATGCTTCCTTGTTCCTAGGTAGCTAATGGGCTGTGGGAGGTGTAGCAAGTGCTGCCAAAACAAGGCTTGAGTAACAAAATAGATTTGAAACTCACAAGAACATTGTAACCAGGTTGACCACTCCCTTTGTTTTGCTTTGTGTGATCTCACTATAAAATAAAGCTTCGGCTTACAGGCTGTGTCACTGTGTCCTCATCCAGGCACAGTGATCCTACCTAGCCCCAACTGTATTCTCTTGTCTGTCTTCTTTAAACTTTCACCACCCCTCCTCAGGTTCACCCCTGGCTGGACACAATTCACAATATACTTTTTTTTAAAAAAATTTGGATTTTATATCATTGAAAGTCTATTTTCCAAAGAAGCAACTTTCTGTATAGAGTTGTAATGATATCATTTTAGCACATGGCACCTGAATTCATGAATACACTGCAGATCAAATGATACCCTTCCAAATCACATTCAGCCAGAGTCTACTAAGTCATAATTAGTCTATACAAGGTGGTTTTGTGTATCCCTCACTGCCATCTTTCATAAAGGTGTTCCATTAAAATCACAAAAATAACCATTAAAATACAATGAGCACCTGTCACTTTAAAGGTGTTTTAAAAGATGCTCTAATTAAACATGGTTCTTTTGTCTACTATGATGCAGACAGAGCACACATCTGAGACTCATTTTCTCCAGATCCCTCTATGATTGCTGACATAGACCTTGCAGCAGCATAGTCTTAGCTTAATAAAAAGTGGCTAGACGGAGGAAAAGTTACAAGACCTGAAGAGTGGCAGCCTCTTTCTCCCTGTCACCACTACTGCCATCTGGGACCCAGGGCCCAGGGCAGTGTGGGGAATCAGCAGGTCCCTGGGGACCTGCAAATCAGATGCAGCTAGTCATAATCATCTGCTGGGATACACCTTGGAGATGGTGCATAGCTTAGGGCTGCTAGTTGGTGGGGTGGCCCCAACTGCTAGTCCTAATATATAAAAACCCAGGGCTGTAACATCCAAAACAATCGAAGACTCAACCAACCGAAAAGTCATTGCTGGGTTGCCGTGGCAACCAGGCACTGGCTGCCGGTCGCTGCTGCAAGTGCCACAACCCAGCACTGACTGCCAAGGGGGGCTGTGGATCAGTCCTGAAGAGAAGCCTGCAGAGAGAAGCAGGGTCTGATCCACAGCCTCTGTGGCAGCTGTTGATAAGCCCTTGCCTCTCTCTTTCTCTCAGACTTCACTGGGGCTGCTGATCAACCTCACCTCTCTGATCAGCCCCATTAATAGGCCCAGAGAAGCTGACTGGCATAGAAACTTACCAATCAAAACCAAATCTGGGTGAAGTGTGAGAAGCCAATGGCTGCCTAGGAGGTGGAGCTTTTGATGCTGACTGGCATAGAAAATGACCAATCAGAACCTAATCTGGGTGAACTGCAAAGGCAGAACCTAAGGTGGCGGCTGAGGAGGGATTTTAAGGGCAACAGCTGTTTGGTGTAAGGTGTAAGAAAGCGGCTCAATTTTTTAATAACCAGTTTGGCAGTACAATGCATATGGCTGGCTATCAGTCCAGATATATGGATTATGTAATTTTGCCTGCCAAGAGTATCTCCTCCTAATGAAAACAGTTTCCCCCTCCCCTCATTTAAGCAATCTGATCCTATATAATCTATCTATACTACTAAAAGGCTACTATGCCATTAAACCGGACCAACCAGCCATCTTCCAGCCGTCTGATTTCTTTCTGGACAAAGCCTAGGTGATGGGGGCCAAGGCAGAGGCTGTTAGGGATCTAGGCCAAACAGGGAGGCCTGAAGTCCTGCCTGGGACCACATGAATAAGCATATCTAAGGCGTGAATGAAACGATACAGACTGCGGATTCAAAATCACCTTCCCCAATTGCCTTCCTCCGAAATAAAACTTTTATTTTCCTTTTAAATTTCAATCTGTAGGACTGCATCCTGGTTTCCAATTGGTTCTTATTTCAAGATTGCAGGGAAGGTGTATGATGCAATGATCTCCCTGACATCTGTCCTGTGCTTCCTCCTTGACCGTGTCCACTGCTACTGACAGAGTCTCTTCCTCTACCTCATTAAAAGCAAGCTCCAAGTGCCTGGTCCCCGGAAGAGCCTGATCACAGTTACACAGCCGTGGGAGTGACAGAAAACTCACCTCAGTGGTGGGCTATCTTGCCAGCAGATCACCTCTAACTATGGAGATTTTCAGCTTCCTCGGAAGAGGGTATGCATATCAGGAGCCTGCTGGTGACTCTTTGGATGCATAGTCCAAAAATGCAATTTTCTCTCTCTACTGAGAGTGGGTTTTGGCCCAGACTCCAAAACACAGTTAGAAGAGGCTATGACCCTCTCTCCTGTAGTTTAGTACTGTTTGAAAAACAACAAAAGCAAACAAACAAAAACACAGAACAAGAGTTTTTTGGAAGCCAGGCATATTCCTTTACATGGCACGGTACCTTTTGTCCTGATCTTCTTGGTTGTCACTTGCTTTGCTCACAGATAGCAGCCTCTTGTCTCGAGGAACCTGGAACCATCAGAAACCATCAGTGAGACTTACAAAGATGCAACTGTGACCATGTGCAGAGCTGGACTCCAACAGAAGCAAAACAACTGAAATGGGTCACACTCCAGGGGAAGGCGGCAGATCTGCTATAGCCAGGAGCTGGTTAAAGGTGGAGTAGGTGCAATGACAGGGGACCAGACACAAAGGGGTGATGCTAAATGGAGAGCCACACAATCATGATTCTGCTGTGCACGACGGACATGGACAACTGTCCTGAACCTGAGCCGCTCCTCAGCCCTCCCCACCTTACGCATGGATGGGGGGAAGGAATACAATAAATGAAGGATGGATCTACACATCTGTGCCCTAAAGCAGATAAAAAACATATCTTGGAGTTACAACAAGTATCCTGTTAAGGAATAGGCACTGACTCTCTACTCTGATGAGGGCCTGCAGGTGCTGACATGAAGGGGAGCAAACTGGGCAGGGGCTGCACTGTCCAGTGAGGGAGCAGAGTCTGGTATACCTGGACCACCCTTTACCACCCTCTCTACATAGTTCAGGTCCTTGCTTCCACAGTTTTTTCTTCTAAACACAATTCTTTTGTCTACAGAAGCACAATGCTAATATACTGCCTGAAACATTATTGAAAAAGTACCACTTGTGAGAAGGTACACCCCACCAGCAGTTTCTGATCGCCATCTCACCTCCCTACTGCAGCTCAGATTGTTTGCGTATCTCTGCCATAGTTTTCAAACATGGAAATAGTAGGTTTGGATTTGGTTGGTTGGATAATTTTGGGGAAAGGGGATGTTTTATTTTATTCTTTCTAGATCTTCCTTCTAGCCAAACTCCTCTGCATCTAAAATGCAGTCTTCACTGTTTTGACATAAAAGAGCATTTATGAGAAGTGTTTCTCTTCTGAATTCCTCTAGCAATTCTTAAGATTTCCACTCACCTGGGTCATATGCAAGCCCAGTCAACTGGACTAAGGAGAAAAAAATGAAATGGGCACACTCCAGAGAAAGGCGTGGCTAAGAGCATGGTGGCTAAGAGTAAAGACTGGACTGTCTGGGTTCAAATCTCCAGCTCTACCACTAACTAAACTCTGCCTCACTTTCCTTATCTATAAAACAGACTTAATGGTAGTTTTAGATCTCACAGTTTTCAATAAAATTAGATGAGTTAATTTTTTGAAGCATTTAGATTGTATGGTACAAGTATACTATATAACAAAAAGGCCAATACGTAGACCAAAGTGCGGTACAGCTGAACAACCAGTCGCTATGACATGCGCTGACCACTAGGGGTGTGCATGGAACATGGTGAGCATCAGCCATGGTGGGATGGTGGAGCAGTGAATGGGGGCACCAGACCAAGATGGGGCACCAGTCACTGTCATTGGGGTGAGCCTCTGGTGGTTACTAAAAATTCTTTGCTCGCGTGTGCCATAGTCTGACCTAGCACTTGTACCTGCTGCTGGCGCCTGGTGCTGGCCTCTGTTGCTCAGTCTCATCAGTGGGTGTGAGCAGTGGCTGCCCATCCTGATGGACCCTGGAGGCTTCTCCACCTCTCCCTGCTCCTGAGGGGCAATCGGGGCTGGCAGCCACAGCTCATACCCGCTGATGGCACTAAGCGACTGGGGCCAGTGCCAACAGTGGATGTAAGTTAAACCAGCACCATCAGTGCATGGGAGCGGCAGTGTGAGTGGGGCTGCTGGCACACATGGTACCAGAAGCCATGGCAGGAGGGGCCAGGCAGTGGCCCAGAGCATGGGCCAAGACCTTCCTTGTGTCCCCCACAGCCTTGTGGCCCACAGTTCTTTTCAAGGTGCACAAATTCGTGCACTGAGCCCCTAGTTTCTTAAATAAAAATAAAATAAAATCAACTCTAAGCCTTTTATTCACATGTCAATGTTGAGAGTCTACATACAACATTCCTGGCATTGCTAAATGCTGGGTAGAAATGAGAGTAATAAAATATTGTTCCTATCATCTACTGAAGATAATATATAAACATAAAATTCAATCCTCAGCACAACCATGTTCATAGCAGCATCACTCACAATAGCCAAAAGCTGAAAACAACTTCAATGTCCATGTACAAATGAATGGATAAACAAAATGTGGTATATACATACAGTGGAATATTATTCAGCCTCAGTAATGAAATTCTGATACCTGCTATAATATAAACAAGCGTTAAAGGCGTTACGAGCCCAGCTGGAGTGGCTCAAGGATTGAGTTTGAGCTATGAATCCAGAGGTCAGGGGTCGATTCCCAGTCAGGGCATATACTGTGGTTGCAGGCTCAATCCTCACTGGGGGATGTGCGAGAGGCAGCCAATCAATGATTCTCCCTCATCATTAGTGTTTCTATCTCTCTCTCCCTCTCCTTTCCTCTCTGAAATAAAAATACACTTTTCAAAAAACTTTAAAAAATAAATAAAGACTTTACAATAAATCCCATGGGACTCAAAGCCATATAGTTTTCTCTGAATGCCTGTTTCCTGGTTCAGCCTGCAACAGTCCTATTTTCTTATTCTCCTTTAACATTTCATGTAATATCAGTTTGGTGGTGACAAATTCCTTTAGCTTATTCTTGTCTGGGAAGTTCTTTATCTGCCCTTTGATTCTAAATAATAGCTTTGCTGGGTAGAGTAATCTTGGTTTTAGGTCCTTGCTTTTCATCTCTCTGAATATTTCTTATCAATCCCTTCTGGCCTGTAAAGTTTCTGTTGAGAAATCAGTTGACATTCTTATGGCAGCTCCTTTGTAGAAGGTAACTGACTGCTTCTCTTTTACTGATTTTAAGATTCTCCCTTTGTCTTTAACTTTCTACATTTTACATTTTTACATTTTACTTATGATTGTGTCTTGTGCCTCTTTGTGTTCATCTTGTTTGGGAACTTTTGTATTTCCTGGATTTGTATGACTACTTCCTTCACCAGACTAGAGAAGTTTTCTGTCATTTTTTCAAATATGTTCTCTCTCTGTGTCTTTTCCTTCCAGCATCACCATGATGCAAATGTTGGTATGTTTGTAGTGGTCCCAGATGCTCCTCCTACTATTTTCACTTTTTTATTCTTTTTCCTTTTTGCTGTTCTGATTGGATGTTTTTTGCTTACTTATATTTCAAATTACTGACTTGATTCTTAACTTCATCTACTTTACTCCTGATTCCCTGTAAATTATTCTTCATTTCAGTTAGTGTATCCTTCATTTTTTACTGGTCCTTTTTTATGCTGTTGAGGTTTTCACTTAGTTCACTGAGCATTCTTATAACCAGTGTTTTGGACTCAGCATCTAGTAAATAGATTGCTTGTCTCCATTTTGCTTAGTTCTTTTTCTGGAGTTTTGTTCTGTTCTTTCATTTGGGACATGTCTCTTTGTCTCCTCATTTTGGCAGCCTTCCTGTGTTGCTTCTATATATTAAGCAGAGCTGCTATTTCTCTCCGGAGGCTTGGTAGATTGGCCTAATGTAGCAGGTGTTTTGAGGCCAGTGGCACAGCCTCCCTGATCACTCAAGCTGGGCACTTGAAGTGTGCCCATGTGGGAAGTGTATATCCTCATGTAGTTGAGTCTTGGTTATTGCTGGAACATCAATGGGAGAGATTTACTCCCAGGCTGATCAGCTGTAAGGATTGGCTGTGACCACCAACGACTGGCCACTGATCTCCAACCACAGTGGGACATCACCTGTGTAGGGGACCACCCCACAGAGCAGGACTTATTCAGCAGGGCTCTGATGCCTGAGGAGTCCGGCCCTTGAGTGTGTCACATGTAGAGGTTGTTGGGTGGTAATACTTGGACATGGTCTGAAACTGTCCACTGCATACACTGGCTTTGGGCCTCCCCTGAGGTGCAGGCCAGGGTCAACTGCCACCTGTGTTCTAACCAGAGCCACATGGCATGAGCTACAAAGTGATCTGCAGATAGCTGCTATTTGTGGTGGGCTTGGAGGTGCCTGGGTGAGGCAAAGCTGCAAACCAAAGCCAGCTGCTACTAGTGCAGGACTGAGCCACTTAGCAAGAGGGGGCACGCTGAGGCCAGATGCTACTTGCTTGAGAGATTTTAGGAAAATGTGAAGCATGAGCCGCTGGAAACAGCTTGGGTGAGCCTGAAAGTTGGGTGGGGCAGGGATTCAGTGAATCACCAGGGCGGGGCACATAGCGATAGCCAGGTTGATGGAGTGTCAGATATGGTGCCCGGCTGATGGCTCTGTGTGGAGGAAGGGCTCATCAAAGGAACGGTGGCCTCTGCCAGCACTTCTGTATGGGAGAAAGCCACCCTCCCAGCTCTCTCAGCCTACGCTGAGCAATTCAGTTCCTCCATATTTCTGGTGCCTTTCAAGCTGCTGCCCCAGCACTGGAGCTCAGAGGGAGTGAGTCTGAGTTAAGTTAGTGCATTTGGGGCCCTTGAAGAAGAACTGCCTGGGACTCGAGCAGCATCAGTCTCCTTCAACCTCAATCCCTTCTGGATTTTATAGCCAGAAGTTATGGGGACTTCTCTTCCTGGCGCTGGAACCCTGGGCTGGGGGCCTGGTATGTGGCTTCTGCAGCTGACATGTCCCTCCCTTTTGTTTTTTTGTTTTTTGGGTTTTTTTCTTCACCCAAGGATATTTTTTCCATTGTTTTAGAGAGAGTAGAAGGGAGGGAGGAAGAGAGAAATGGAGGAAGAGAAAGAGAGAGAATGATCGATCTGAGAGAGACACATCAATTGGTTTCCTCCCACACAAGCCCTGACTGGGCACATCGAACCTGCAACCCAGGTACATGCCCTTGAGTGGGAATTGAACCTGAGACCCTTCAGTGCATGGGCTGATGGGACTGGCCAGGGCTCCCTCCTGATTTTTATCTGCCACACTTGGGTGTGGGACCAGCCTTTTCCATGTCTCCCCTCTCCTACCAATCTTAATGGCTTCTTCCTAATTCCTTAGTTGTCGGGCTTCTATTCAGCCAGATTTCAGGCAGTTCTGAGTGATGGCTGTTGTGTAGTTTAGTTGTCATTTTGATGTGGTTGT